CAGCGCCGGCCCCTCGTGTGCCCTGGCCGCCCGGCCGCTGCTGCGGGCGGCCGTCCCTGCTGCCAGTCACAAGCATTACAGGGGATCACTGGAGTCGTGTTGTCAAGGAGGTCAGCTTGCTGGACAGGGCTGAAGGTCAAAAGAGGCCTTTTCTCTTGCAGGCAGCAGATCTTGTAGTTGGAAAAAGCAGTCAAAAGCGACTTTTTTCCCCCTCCCAGCTTCACTTCGCTGTGTGAAGCGCTAGGGTAAAGCCAAACCAAGCAACAATGGAACCTGCAAGTGCTTCCTTGTTTAAAAAAAAAAAAAGGAGATGTAAAGGGGAGCTAGCTGAAACTGGAACGAATCAGATGTCATGGCAGGGGAAAAGAGCTAACAGGGAAATTAGAGTGATTATGAAAGCCAGAAGATAGCTTTGATAAAAGTTTGTACTGTTAGCCTAGCTCGGGGAAATCAAGGACATGCTAGTCCTGGGGAAACGACCGTGGGTCTGTTCCTGTTTATTTGCCCCTGGTGAGCACTTGCCATGCTTTGTGCTTGATTTATAAAAAATCATTACCATAATCTAAGTGGCAAACCTTATTCTAGTACCAGATATTCTAAAGTCCTGGTGCCCGTCTTGAAGTTTTAGAAAATAAGAATAAAATTACATGATTTTTTTTTTAAATTGTATTGCTTGAAATGCCTTAAAAATATGTGGGCTTTTTTATTTGCCTTTGGATTTTTAAATTTTGTGGATTCGTATCTTCAGATTTCTTCAACACCAGATATCTTTAAAATCATAAGAACCAGACTATTCTTGTTTAAACAACTTCCAAATCTGTAACAAAATACTACCTGTTTGCAGTACTGAGTGGAGAGGAGAAGAGAAACTGTGACTGGGTCCTGTCCGTCCCAGTGCTGGCACGACTGCTTGTGCTGTCTTGTGTAGTGCGTGATAGAAAAGCATAACCTGAAATTATGGAGTTCGAAGAAACTGTCGTACATTGTAATAATGGTTTGCTGATTATACTGTTTGGAATATATGCACGTATCATGTGACCTTTATAAGCACTTGATAAGTGAGCTGTGAAGCCTGTGCTGTATGTGCTCTTAAGTTATGTATTCTTATTAAAGCTTCCTCAGCAGAGGGTCAACCGCATGGGATAAAACTCCCTGTGGAAAGAGCTCTGGTGCAACGCAGTGATCGTGCACAGAGACTTATTAAGAGCTTTTTTCTGGGTAGGAACAAATGAAAAGTGTGAGGGATATTATTTTAATTTTATTTACTCAGCTGGAAACTATCTAGCCATGTGTATATGATCTGGGTCATGTATCCCTAAATAATAGTTTCCACCTGGTGGAAGGCTGCCATCAATACTTCAATAGCCAAAGCCCAAGCAATTTCAGTTATTCAGTCATTTTTTCTTCCTGTGAGGATTAATGGCTGAAGAAGGAAATAATTTCCTCAGTATAGTTGACATTCAAAGCCACAAATCTACTTCTTATCTTCTTTTGGTAATGTCTTACATCTGCCACCTGTGAAGTTATGACAACTCAGCCTTATATCCTGATCGGGGTAATCAAGTCCCTGATCTCCTGTAGGTGGGCTGAAGCATTCTTTGTGTTCAAGCAGCTGAATCTTTACTTGTAGTGTACCACAGAAAATCATTTGCTTGACGAACTCGCGGTACTCTGTTAACAGCTTTGAAACTTGCTTTCCTTGTGTCTGAAAGGGAAGAATGAGACCGAATCCTAAACAGAAGACTAGGAGAGAAGCTAAACTGAAATGTGGGTGTTTGGGGAGTCAGAAAGGAAACATGTGAGTTGAAGTTTCTGCAAGGTGACGTATGTGCAGTCTCCTAACATTCTTGTTCAGTAAGAATGAGATATATGCAAGTTGTTTATTTATAAGCTATATATACACAAAAATCTGGTGCTGTAGCACTGGTCAGCAACTTACTGTATCCTGGCTACATGGTGAAGCAAATGCTGTAGGCTGGAAGATCAGGCATAGTTTGAGGAGCCCTTTATTATGTTCAGTGTTTCTTTCTACAATACATTTATTATCCGTGGCATGTGCAGTCTGAAGTGGAGTTTCAGTTGAATGTCTAACTAAACTATTTCATACTTCAATTAATCTATTGGAGTCTTTTTTTCTTGTAACAAATACATGTTTTTTAAGTACATGATTTTTTAGCCTTTATGTCAGTGGTACCTTTTTATGTTGCTAGAAATTTTGTTTTCATGTCTTGGAATTTCTACTTGTATGCAGATACCAATTTATCTCTTGCATTATGAAACTCTTTCAGTATCGGCTGATTTGTATAACCAGGCACCCACCTGGATTCTTCGTTTTAATCTCAACTTTAGAACAAAACCTGAGTGCGTAGGCCTCGTGCTCTGTTCAGAAGGCCTGTGAAATGTTCTTTTACAGGGTATTAGTTCTGTCAGCATGTTCCCCCTAATTTTCCTCCAAGAGGTTTTGACCAAGGGAGCTATGTACATGCTGGATCCTGGGAAAACTTCTGATTCTGCCCTGCTGAAGGAAGAGTTATTTTGGAGGACTCCTGCTTGTGAACTTCAAAGTGATTTTTTTTTTCTTGGGCAATAATCTGTTTGGAGGGAGGAGTTTTTATTCTTAATTTCCCAGTGTCTTCTACCTGTTGTAGAAGTGCAATATAAAATGAATATTTTTTTTCCACTTGATTTCATAAGCCATTTTGGAAGAACAGTTTTCCTAAAAAAAAGTGAAGTTCACATTGTTTAGAAATTATTTTAATGAGTTCAGATTGATTGTTACAGAAATCTAATTGCACTCCTACCAATAAGGTCAGGTGGCTTGTTTTTTTCCCCGCACCCTTTTTCATATGAAACACAACATTGATGGTACCTTACCCAGGTTATAACTATAACAATGACGTAATACCCCTTGCTGTAAAAAATAAAGTTATTGTAGAGGTCAGGGTGGTGCTGGACTTCGGTGTGCCATGATTCTTGATTTCTTGAACTTGGAAAAAAAGTATAGATACTGGCCAGTATAGCCTTTGACTTGAGTGGGTCTGTTAGCCCTTTAGTAAGGGTGAGTATTCTTGTTGAGATGAATTTTTAAGGCTTCAGGAGTTTGAATGAGATTGTACCTTGATCTCAAAAGAAACTCTGGTGGGTCTATGTTGATAGTGACTACTGATAGTCTTTCCAAAAGGCTTGCTAATTACTGCAGATAGTGAACAAGGAGTAACATTTGAATGCCCTGATGTCCTATTCATTTTGTGCTACAGCCTGTAGAAAAAATTGAATATGCTCTAAAGAAGGTACCTGAAGTGCCATTGGGAGTGCTGTGGTGTTTGAGTACTGTTACTGTTAGAAGTGCTCTCGAGGACTGGGACAACATTGCTCATAGTTAGCTTAAAAGGCGACAAAATGATAGCACTAATGGGAGAGAAGCGCTCTGAAGAGAAGCATGGCTCCCAATAGTTTCCAAACTTTATCTGTAAAAGTCTAGCAGTATGCTGTTACTACCAAAACAAGGCTGTTACATAACTGTAGAAAAGTTGAAGAAGATAAGAGACCTCTCTGAGCTGGAAACTAGGGAAAGTTTAGGCTCTACCAGAGGAGGTGCTGTTCTGGGATTCCCAATGCCTCAAGGGTAAAAATATCTTGAAAGGAAGAAACTTAATGCAAATGATTTGGACTTCTATCTGAGGTGGATAAGGCATATATGTAGAAAAAAACCTCTGACTACATGACTTGTGACTCTCCCTCACTCAACATTCTTAGAAGCACTCTTTGGGATTTTGTTACTTAAGAATCTTAAAGCCTGTGTGTGTCTCCCAAAGTAGTAGTTAGACTGGAAAAATAAGGGATGGTATGGACTACTGGGTCTGGAATGGGTAGCTTGCGATTCGTTGATACTCTCACACTTCAGATGCAAGGAATTAGTGTTTTTTTTGTGGTGCGTCAGGTAACCAGATCTTGTTGTGAGATGCAAATACTTTGATGCCTGGCTGTTTTTCCTGAGAATTTTGATGCCTACCAGCACGTGAATGTTTCTGGGATTGTGCAGCAGTGGAGAGATGGTTCTGAGAACTTAACCCTAATTATCCTTTATTAAGTGGACACCTGTCAGTCTGAGAGATTTATTACCTCCCTGTACCCTGATGACATTAAGGAGACATTGTATCCAAAAAAGACATGAGCTTTGTAGAAACCAACAGTACACAAGAGTGAAGAAAATGAAACTGTTACATATTTATATGATGTGACTTTAGTAGGATGATCTGCCTTTTTAAGGTCCTAATGAGTCTTGGGCTGGCTGACCATGTAAGTAGGCTCGTTTAGATATCAGCTCCATCTGGCAATAACATCTGTCAGGAAAAGACCTAACAGCCTGGTTTGGTGGAGGAAGACCCCCCCTCCCCCCGCCCCCCGGAACTGGCTTTGGAATAAAAGAAAAGATGTAGAAATAAGTTATATTTGTTTGAAGCCTGTGTTGGCAGGAATAATAGATATGGTCCAAGTTACCTTGAACCTTACTGAGGAAGGTGTCACAAGAATGCTTTAGTAGCTCTTAGTT